GAAGAGTGTGTGTTACATATTGTTAAAGACTGTCCTTGGGCTGTGTTGTGATCGTGCAGCAATTATGGTGAATAGTAAGGAATCAAACAATTAAGAAAGCAGGAGAAAATAACATACAGAGATTTACGTGGTTCGGCAATGTGCCTACATCCATGAGAGCGAGCGGCCGTTCTTTTCCATTATTGAAGTAGGGTTACATCTTAAGTATTTATATAACCCTAATATGGATGTATTTACAAAAATACCCCTGTACCGTACCGCGGGGGCATTGCCCTCGCACCCCCAACTAATCAGCGTCCCCTTTATATAAATTCTGCAAGACAGATGCCGTCGTGGGCTCCACCCGCTCCGGCATCTGCCTCCTTGCCATTATGCACACAGCAAATATGAGTCACACATACTCTAACAATCTCCACCTTGGCAAATATTCATCCCTTAGAAGAAAAAAGAGGACATGTATTCGGGAACTCCACCGGGGACGCTGAGTTGAGGCATCTCCCATCTAACAACTAGAGACATTAATCAAGTCCAAGCAGTGCTTGAACTTGTCTGTAGTAACAGGCTTTGTCAACATGTCTGCTGCATTCTCAGAAGTGTGAACTTTCTCAAGTAATAGTTCACCAGAAGAAACCAGTTCCCTGATCTTATGAAACCTCACATCTTTATGTTTGGTCCTTGCATGATACACCTGGTTCTTTGCCAAATAAATGGCACTCTGACTGTCACAATGCAATTGAACTCCACCTTGCTGGGCACCCAGCTCCTTGACTAAACCTGTAAGCCACAAAGCCTCTTTGGCAGCCTCAGCTACTGCCATATACTCTGACTCAGTAGTAGATAGTGCAATTATAGGCTGTACCATGGACTTCCAACAAATAGGTCCTCCCACAAGAGTAAACACATAACCTGTGGTAGACCTCCTGTCATCCAAGTCCCCTGCATAGTCTGCATCCACATATCCCATAACTGAAGGGTCACTCTGTTGTCTGCTAAACCTGATGCCATAGTCTGTAGTGCCCCTCAAGTATCTGAAAATCCACTTGACTGCATCCCAATGCTGTCGACCCGGATTTGAAAGAAACTTGCTAACCACGCTGACAGCTTGTGCCAAATCTGGTCTTGTACAAACCATAGCATACATCAAACACCCCACTGCACTAGCATATGGGACCTTTGACATGTCATGAACTTCATCATCTGTCTTCGGGCACTGAGCGGTAGACAATCTGAAATGATTCGCCAAAGGTGTACTTACTGATTTTGCATAACTCATGCTGAACCTGTCCAACACCTTCTCAACATAGCTATGCTGAGATAGCCATAATCTCCTGGAAGCTCTGTCCCTGCGAATCTCCATCCCAAGAATCTTCTTGGCCGCACCCAAATCCTTCATGTCAAATTCTCTACTCAACAAAGTCTTCAACTTGTTGACCTCACTCATACTCTTGGCAGTAATCAACATATCATCCACATAAAGTAACAGAAAATTAAATGAATCATCATCAAGCCTTTTTACATAGACACAACAATCATACTCACACCTTTTGTAGCCAATTCGGATCATGTAAGAGTCAAATCGTTTGTACCACTGCCTCGGAGACTGCTTCAGCCCATAAAGTGATTTCTTCAAATTACAGACCAAATGTTCCTCTCCAGGGAGACTGAACCCTTCTGGCTGTACCATGTAAATCCGTTCCTCCAAGTCGCCATGAAGGAAAGCTGTCTTTACATCCATCTGCTCCAACTGCATATCTGAATGTGCTACTAGTGCCAACACTGTCCTGATGGAAGTGTGTCTGACCACGGGGGAGAAGATCTCATCATAGTCAACCCCTTTTCTCTGTGAGTAACCCTTTGCTACTAGACGAGCCTTGAATTTTTCTCCCCCATTTTTTGATACTGCTTCTTTCTTCTTATACACCCATTTGCACCATATTGCTCTCTTCCCCTCGGGAAGTTCCACCAATTCCCACATCTGGTTCTTTTGCAGAGACTCCATCTCCTCCACCATAGCACCCATCCATCTACTTTTCTCTTGGCTTTGTACTGCCTCCTGAAAAGTTGTAGGATCCCCGCTACTAGTAATAAGTGCATAAGAAACCAAATCTTCAAAACCATACCTGGTAGGTGGCTTGATATTGCGTTTGGGCCTGTCTGTGGCTATACTATGATGATGTTGATCACCTGAGATAGAACGCTCTACATGTTGAGCATCCTCTTCTCTACTATGATTCTCTAGCTCCACCTGCACCACATGGTCATTAGTGCTACAGTTTTCTGGTACTTGTTTCTCTTCTTCCTGAGTACGCTGCAACATGGCTTTTTCATCAAAAACCACATCTCTACTGATCACCATCTTGTTTGCCTTCGGATCCCAGAGCTTGAAGCCTTTCACTCCTTTCTGATATCCCAGAAAGATACACTGTCTAGACTTCGCATCAAGCTTCGACCTCTCCTCACTAGAAACATGTACATAGGCTGGACATCCAAACACTCTCAAACCAGAGTAGTCTACCTCACTGCCTGTCCACACCTCCTCTGATACTTTCCCATCTAGTGCTGCCCTCGGTGATCTGTTAATCAAGAAACATGCCATATTCACTGCCTCTGCCCAGAAATTCTTTGCAAGCCCTGCATTCAACCTGAGACACCGAGCTTTCTCGGCTATCGTTCTGTTCATCCTTTCCGCTACACCATTTTGTTGTGGTGTCTTGCGGACTGTGAAGTGTCTCTTGATCCCATGCTGCTCACACAACTCCTGGAACTTTGAATCTGTGTACTCAGTACCATTATCTGACCTGAGGCATTTAATCTTCCTCCCTGTCTGGTTCTCTACTTCAGCTTTCCACAGCTTGAACTTGGCAAACGCTTCTGACTTGTGCCGCATGAAGTACACCCAGACCTTTCGTGAGTAATCATCAATGAAACTCACGAAATACATGTATCCTCCCCGTGATAGTACGCTAACTGGTCCCCAAACATCTGTATGGACATAGTCGAGAACCCCCTCTGTCTTGTGTGTGGCTGTCTTGAACTGCACCCTATTCTGTTTTCCAAGAACACAATATTTGCAAAAATTGAGCTTGCATGTCTTGACACCCTTCAATAGATTTTTCTTATGAAGCTCTATCATCCCACGCTCACTCATATGACCCAGCTGCATATGCCACAAGACTGTATTATCTGATTCAGACTCTACAGCAGCAACTCCACCTACAATTGTAGTACCCAGCAGTCTGTAAATGTTTCCTACTACTTTCTGTCCCTTCATCACTGTCAGCATGCCTTTACTTACTTTCATTACTCCACTTATAGATTTGTAACTATAACCATTACAATCCAAAGTGCCCAATGAAATCAAATTCTTCCTTAGATCCGGTACATGTCTAACATCACACAACGTTCTAACCATACCATCAAACATCTTAATTCTAATATTTCCTATTCCAACAACTTTGCAAGATGCATCATTACCCATCAGAACAGAACCAGAATTTACTGACCTGTAGGTGTCAAACCAATCTTTGTTGGGTGTCATGTGATAGGAACATGCTGAATCCATAATCCAAGAATCTGTTAAACGATCTGAACTAGATAAAACAGAAAGCATATCTCCGTCACCACTCTCTGAATCTTCTTCTTCCACTACGTTTGCAGACTTTGATGCACCCTCTTTGTTCTCTGAATCCCCTTTCTTTTTCTCTGGACAGTCCCGTTTAAAGTGCCCCTTTTTCCCGCACTTGTAACACGAGACAGAGACGTCCTTCTTCTTCTTCCTCGACTTGGACCGGGCTTTATTGTTACCCGATCCATTCCGAGATTTGCTTCTTCCACGTTCCTGGTTACCTTTCACCACAAGCCCTTCACCTTGTGAAGCCTCATCACTGGCTTTCTTCCGCTGATGAAAACCTAACAGAGCACCTGTGACATCCTCCAATTCGAGGGTTTCTTTCCCCCACATCAGAGTCGTAACCAAATTCTCGTACGTAGGAGACGCTGGTAGGGAATTCAGCAACATCAGCGCCTTGTCTTCGTCTTCGAACTTCACATCAACTCGTTTCAGATCGCTGATGATCTAATTGAACACGTTGATGTGTTGGGTCAAATCCGAGCCCTCTGACATTTTAAGACCATATAGTTTCTGCTTAAGATAGAGCTTGTTCGTCAACGACTTGGACATATACCGACTTTCCAGTTTCAACCAAACTTCCACCGGTGATTCCTCATCCATGACGTGATACATCACTTCATCAGCCAGACAAAGCCTAATAGTCGACATAGCCTTCGCTTCCAATTCTTTCCAATCCATGTCGTCCATTCCTGTCGGTTGTTTTCCGTATAATGCCTTCACCATGCCCTGCTGTACTAACAGATCCTTCACCCTCCTCTGCCATAATCCAAAATTCCCAGTTCCGTCGAACTTCATGATGTCGAATTTTGTAGAAGAAATCCCAGACATCGTAGTTTAGCTCTGATACCAATTGCTGTGATCGTGCAGCAATTATGGTGAATAGTAAGGAATCAAACAATTAAAAAAGCAGGAGAAAATAACACACAGAGATTTACGTGGTTCGGCAATGTGCCTACATCCACGAGAGCGAGCGGCCGTTCTTTTCCATTATTGAAGTAGGGTTACATCTTAAGTATTTATACAACCCTAATATGGACGTATTTGTAAAAATACCCCTGTACCGTACCGCGGGGGCGTTGTCCCCGCACCCCCAACTAATCAACGTCCCCTTTATATAAATCCCACTCCGGCATCTGCCTCCTTGCTATTATGCACACAGCAAATATGAGCCCACACATACTCTAACAGGCTGAATCTTCTTGGGATGGCAATCCCTTAAGCTATGGCCTACAGCTTCCAGCGAGCAATATGGACTGTTTGTTTTGGGAGCTAACTCTTTAGTTTAATCCCCGTCAGTTTTCTCTCTTCTGGGTGCATTGTTGGCTTATTTGGAGAAATAGAAATGAGAACCTTCTTTCAGAATACAAAAATGGATCCCAAAACTCTAAATCAAGTTGATATTGATTACCTCAGACTTTACGAACAGGCATGGGACATATGGCAGCCGAGTACAAGCTGCTCAACATCTGATAAATGGATTCCTCCAACTGCTGTGTCCTTGAAAGTGAGTTTTCCCAGCAAATTTCGGTTGATAGCTAGGATCCGACATTGATTTTTGATTGAAATGTCAACTCTAAGTTTTGGACGGCCCAATAAAAGAAGGGATTAGAATTCATATTGTTTATGAGTTCAACAGATAATAAGCATAATGGGTATGTGGAAGCGAGTAGTAGTTGGTACTGAGACACTTACTGTCAAGATTATAGCATCTCGAGAGGTAGTGAATTTCGCAAGGGTGCAAGGACTGTGAAGAGAGTATACTGGAAGGGAATTCTGTCAATGTAATGAAGATGCTAGANATTTTCCCAGCAAATTTCGGCTGATAGCTAGGATCCGACATTGATTTTTGATTGAAATGTCAACTCTAAGTTTTGGACGGCCCAATCAAAGAAGGGATTAGACTTCATATTGTTTATGAGTTCAAGAGATAATAAGCATAATGGGTATGTGGAAGCGAGTAGTTGGTACTGGACACTTACTGTCAAGATTATAGCATCTCGAGAGGTAGTGGATTTCGCAAGGGTGCAGGGACTGTGAAGAGAGTATACTGGAAGGGAATTCTGTCAATGTAATGAAGATGCTAGATGCTGCTGAAATGGATTGATCTCCTTTGGGTAAATATCATTGAGGATGCTAAGACAATTATAAAAGGTTTCAGATTTCTTTCTTTATCCAATGTAAGATGCAATGATAATTCAATGGCACACCAGTTAAACTAAGTACACTTAGATGTCTCAATTAGTCTGATGTACGAGANGAAGGTTTCAGATTTCTTTCTTTATCCAATGTAAGATGCAATGATATTTCAGTGGCACACCAGTTAAACTAAGTACACTTAGATGTCTCAATTAGTCTGATGTACGAGACAAAATGACACTTTATTAATGAAATTTCATCGTTTCTATCACAAAAAAAAAAAAGGAAGGGAGTGACAAAAAGAAAAAGGGGATAATACGAAAATCAAGTTCCAAATTTTCAACTCAAGCAAAATTGTTCTACAGAATCACACACTTCCCCATTATATTAATCAACCTAGTCACCATGAAAACCCCTCATCATCTCTCAAATGCTTGATTTGAGGTCCTCTGGAAATAAAATATTTTTTTCCTAGAGAGAAGGGAAACCTCTCCGTCTCTCCTCCCAAAATCTAACAGCCATGANGTTATATTAATCAACCCAGTCGCCATGAAAACCCCTCATCATCTCTCAAATGCTTGATTTGAGGTCCTCTGGAAATAAAATATTTTTTTCCTAGAGNATTATATTAATCAACCTAGTCACCATGAAAACCCCTCATCATCTCTCAAATGCTTGATTTGAGGTCCTCTGGAAATAAAATATTTTTTTCCTAGAGAGAAGGGAAACCTCTCCGTCTCTCCTCCCAAAATCTAACAGCCATGAATGATGTGGGAACACTTGTTCTTAATCCAACGAAGCCCATNAAATATTTTTTTCCTAGAGAGAAGGGAAACCTCTCCGTCTCTCCTCCCAAAATCTAACAGCCATGAATGATGTGGGAACACTTGTTCTTAATCCAACGAAGCCCATTCTTGATCGAAGCCTTACACCTTCCTTCAACACTATAAACCTTGTATTTCGCAATTCGCCTCTTTCTCTTCATCTCTGAATCATTGAATCCCCGGGGTTTCGACACAGACGACGCCGCAACCTGACTTGGCCTAGTCACACGAGGCGTAATCGGATGCAGATCGGGGGACCTAGGCCCCGTCGTTGAATACATCTGATTTGCACCAAATCCTTTCCCACTCACAATCCGGTCGCCGCCGGGGCACCGAAAACTCGGTCGGAACGCGTCCATATCTCGCCGGAGACTTTATTATACAGAATAAGAGATGGTGAGAGAGAGAATAGGTCACCTCTATCTGAGAGGTTATGAGGAGTGAAAATTGGAGACTAGGGCTTACAAATATACGGAGAGAGATGAATATATCTACAGAATAAACTATCGTAGACACCTGGNATCTGAGAGGTTATGAGGAGTGAAAATTGGAGACTAGGGCTTACAAATATACGGACAGAGATGAATATATCTACAGAATAAACTATCGTAGACACCTGGACAGAGACCCAGAACTTTAGCTGTGGTGTTGTAGATTCTGAAGTGGTGGTGAGTTCTGTACTCGATGGATGACACTTTCTTTGCTTTTTCTAATTTAGTGACAGCCTCGATGATATCGATTTCTCGTGGGAGGTGGGAAGTAATCATTTTCTTTGTTGATTATTGTAGAGAAATTCATGGTTGATGGTCACACTGTTTTGTAGCTAACGGAAAATAAACTAACACTATCCAAAAAAATCTTTCCTTAACACTAAAATTGTTCTACAGTAATGTGCATGTACGTTCTTGCACAATATAAATACAAGAACAAATCTTTTTCGTGGTGAATACGAGTCCGTCGATCGAGTAGTCAATCTTGCAACTTGGAATAGGTTATAAGGGCCAAAAGTGACCTAAGAAGTGGTGATGAATTATTTTTATAGGTCGCCTGACTGGTCCTGAGAGACTAAGAGAGGTTTCTTGGAACAGAGAAAAACAGGTTAGAAGGACGCCGGAGTGTTTTTCGGCGTATTCTCTCTGATGATCAAATCAGTTCTTTGAGAGAGGAGAAGAAAAAAATATTATATGATGCTTGAGAAAGGGTTTTTGCGTACCTTTTTAATGTGTTTGTGAGGACTATTTATATCTTACAAAACTCATCATTGCTGATAGTGTAGCTAGTAGGTAATCATTAGAGGTGGGTAGTGTGCACACTAATTTCTATGAGAAATGTCCTCATTCTTAACTGTTCGGGACCCCAAACAACTAATGCTTTCTCCTTGGTCTGCTGAATGTTTAATGACCTTCTCTCGGCAAGAATGTATTAAATGCTCAGGCATAGAAACATTAATTACCTTTCACTTCCAGGCTCTTATGCATCAAATGCTGTCTCATCAAGGGAAGGATGCAATAAATGTCTTCCCTCCCAAGTCGTGTGCCAGCAAGGGCATTCTGGTTTTTTCGTCTCTGACTTGACACAATGTGTTATGTGCCAATTCCCCTTTGGTTGAGCCTTCTGCTTTCTTGTGCCTCCTGACACCATTTGAGTAGGACGATATTATGATGGCTAGTCTAGCCTAGCCTAGGCTAGTAATCTGTCAATCAATAGCCCCTACAGGAGCAGAAACGTCCACGTGGACAGATACACCTTGGTGCTGATGGACTAGCATGATTAGGGACCGACATACCCAAACTGACCGAGAGATACGTGTCGGTCCATGGCGTATTGGGGATTCTTGATCCCTGTGAATAGTACCCTCGGGGAAGGGGGTTATAGACCGACGAGGACGTGTCAAGATCACAGTAGAGAGTCTCCANCTACAGGAGCAGAAACGTCCACATGGATAGATACACCTCGGTGCTGATGGACTAGCATGATTAGGGACCGACATACCCAAACTGACCGAGAGATACGTGTCGGTCCATGGCGTATTGGGGATTCTTGATCCCTGTGAATAGTACCCTCGGGGAAGGGGGTTATAGACCGACGAGGACGTGTCAAGATCACAGTAGAGAGTCTCCATTGACGCCAAGTACACGTGTCGTTATCTTGGCGTGTCTGAAAATGTCCCATCAACTGCCCCCAGCCTTTGATTTTTTGACGCAGAGGACACGCGTCATAAGAAGACGAAAGGTTTTACAACTGCCCCAACCACCCCATCATTGCTTTTAGCCATTTTTCGCCACTTAGGAGGTCGTGCGCATTAAATGCACCTCTTCGTGCTTCGNCAGAGGACACGCGTCGTAAGAAGACGAAAGGTTTTACAACTGCCCCAACCACCCCATCATTGCTTTCAGCCATTTTTCGCCACTTAGGAGGTCGTGCGCATTAAATGCACCTCTTCGTGCTTCGTGCCCAATGATGGAGACAAGCACTATATAAACAAGCTTTCTCTCTCTTTCCCACACTTTTACCATTTCGAACTCTCAGAGAGCTTTCACCAGAAACTTCGTTGGAGACCACCTTGTCACATCATCTACCAATCAGTCATCACCAGAGTTTAGACCAGCAAACCCCCTCTTGCTTTTGAACCTTCTCGAGAAAGGGACCACTCCAAGTTCTTCAGAAATCTTCATTTGCATTCTGGTGAGTCCTTGCATCCTCCTTCTTTCCATCCTTCTTCTGGGTTTTGTTTTTCATTTTCTGGTAACCGGAGGTATTTCTAGTAGTCATCGTTTGACCAACCCTCAGGAAACCTCTTAGGGTTCCTTGTAGGAAAACTCTTTTTCCTGTCCCCCTCCCTTTTTTTTTTAATTAGAGATGCCCCGATGCCGCTCTACCACCGAGGCCCCCCAGGCTAGTTCCTCGAGGCCAGGGAAGTACAAAGTAAAAGGAGACTAGCAGATNACTCTTAGGGTTCCCTGTAGGAAAACTCTTTTTCCTGTCCCTCTCCCTTTTTTTTTTAATTAGAGATGCCCCGACGCCGCTCTACCACCGAGGCCCCCAGGCTAGTTCCTCGAGGCCAGGGAAGTACAAAGTAAAAGGAGACTAGCAGATCAATAGGTTTAGGGCCCGATATCACATCCCCCAAAACATAGGTATAGAAGAGTACGACCCAGTTTTGCATAATCGTAATCTTGGGGCCGAGGATGAGATGCCCTTTTACACCAAAGCAATCATAGAGGGTGAAATTAGGTTCTCCCTGCCTTCTCTACTCCTCCAGTTCCTCTCCCATTTCAACCTCTTCCTAGGGCAGTGTTGTTTTAATGTCTTTAGGATAATAATGGGGATCCTAGAGCTTAATAATCGCCTCGGGATAAATATTGGGCTTAACGATATCTTTTTTTGCTACTCTTTATTGAGTGTCATGCCCCAGCAGAACTTCTACCTCAAAACCAGGGATACATCCATGTACCTTATAACTCACCTCCCTGATTCGGACAAGGGGTACAAGGATGACATTTTGATCTTCAGTGGATCTTGGGAGCGGGGAACCGGTCCCGAGTATGATGGTCTAAGGTGCCATCTTGAATGGAGAACGACAAGTACATCGGCTTCTTCGAGTCTAATTTTTTACTGTCCTTGGAATATTTTGCAAATGTTAATAACATTTTTTCTTGTGCAGACGTCTCCGCCCGAGAAGTCGCTCCTCCTCCTCGGTCTTTGGTAAATTTTGTCGACCTCATCACTGTCTGGGAGTTTGTCGGCGACGACGAGTTTGGCTGGGCCGCACATCTTCTTTTGAACTACACAGCAGGGTACAAGAAATTTCACAGCTCCCCTAACCTTTCGACCCTTCGTAGTGGTCTGAACTCTTTAATTAGACAGCGTAAAAAGAGGCCGAGCAGAACTTGAAGGAAGATCCTGATAGGGCTACCGAGGTGAAAGTGGAGGGCACCTTTGAAGTTGAGGAGTTCGTGGCCAGAGAGGCTTTTGTTCCTTCGCATGCCGAAGTAGGGACCTCAGGGAGAGATTCTTGGCCTGACTTCAACATCCTCCAGTCCCTAGACACCAAGGACGCATTTGAGGTAGCCATGTANAGGGCTAGAGAGGCTTTTGTTCCTTCGCATGCTGAAGTAGGGACCTCAGGGAGAGATTCTTGGCCTGACTTCAACATCCTCCAGTCCCTAGACGCCAAGGACGCATTTGAGGTAGCCATGTAACGCCCACCCCACATAGACTTCAGTTTTCTGAGGGAGAGGCAGGCCCTCACCGCAAGGAGAGGAAGGGGATCAACCAACGATGCCCCACACCTTTGAGGGCCCCTGGTCTAGATCAGGTGCGTGACTGGGATCCTCAAGTTGAAGAGGAGAGAAGAACCAAGCTAAGGCACGACGGCCTTGGTAGGGGGACCAGGGCCCCCTCCGCTCAACAGCAAAGCGGGAGGGGCTGTGGGTTTCCCCCTCCACCCCAGCAGCAACAACAACAGCAAAGACAGTAATAGCAGCAGCAACAGAGACAAACTCCACCTCCCATGTCGCAGACGGTGGAAGCTGCAGAATGGAACCCTCGGGCTACTGATCACATGAGCGGGGTAATAAGGGTCAACGATTTCATTCTGCAAGACCCCCATGTCGCCAATGCAGTGAGCGAGACGCTTCATTTCGGGGTCGACATAGAGGCTCACAGGGGGCGGACAACGAACACGTTGTTCCGTTCCATCATTCAGAACTCTCTGGTGGTAAGTTCATCTTTGGTTTAGTCTTTCATTACTGTGTCACCCACAATTAACCAAGTTCTTTCCCTCGCAAGCCACTCAACAAATTTTCATAATCATTGCGCGATACCATGCAGCTAGAATGGACCTTCAACGGACCCAAGAGCATAAAGAAGAGGTTGAAGGAGCCTTGGCCACCACTAAGGAGGTTGTGGTTGCCAGGGACTCCACCCTCGCGAGCCAGGCCGCTCAGATTGAGCAACTGCACAAGGACAGTGAATCGACGAAGGTCGGCGCTGAAAAGCTAAGTGCCGCCTTGGCCAACACTAAGAAGAGGATTATGGAGCAGACGCAGCGGCTCTCTACGGCCGAGGCGAGGGCCGTCGAGTAGGAGGAGAACTGTCTGGCCCTGACCCAAGAGCTTGATAGGGTCAGGGCTAAAGCAGAGAACAGGAAGTCAGAGGAGCAAATTCGAGAGGAGTTTGCCGATGACATACTATCCGCCCTTGAGGAGAACAACAAAGAGTTCTTCAAGAAAGGGTAGGATGAGGCGCTCCGAGTCGCCGGTGTTCTTCCAGACTCTCCACTTTTTCAGATGCATAACTGCGTGCCATCGACAGAGATGGTGCAGATTGCTACTGAGGGCGTGGCCCCAATGCCGATGCAAGTTTTGGCA